CTTGCACCAGGCCCCAGAGGGGCTGTGGGAACTTTTCCAGGGAGGCTTGCAGCTCCTAGAACTTGGTAACTGCATTTTTCCCTCAAAAATTGTTCTTAAAAAAAAGAGTTAAAAAAAAAAAAAAAGAGTTAAGAACTTGAAAACATGACGCTAAGTGAAATAAGCCAGACACAAAAGGACACATAATGTCTGATTTCATTTATACAAAGTACATAGAATAAGCAAGTTCATAGAGACAAAAGTAGAAGGGGGTTGCCACAGGTTGGGGGTGGGACGGGGAGTAGGCAGTTATTGTTTAATGAATATAGAGTTTTGGGGGTCTTTTTGTTTTTGTTTTTTGTGTATTTTTTGAGACAGAGTCTCATTCGGTTGCCTGGGCTGGTCTCCAACTCCTGGGCTCAAGCGATCCTCCTGCCTCAGCCTCCCAAATTGCTTGGGACTATAGGCATGTGCCACCATGACTACCTAATTTTTTTAATTTTTTGTAGAGATGGGGTCTTGCTATGTTGCTCAGGCTGGTCTCGAACTCCTGGCCTCAAGCAATCGTCCACCTCAGCCTCCCAAATTGCTGGGACTACAGGTGTGTGCCACCACGCCCAGGCATGAATATAGATTTTTTGTTGAGGATGATGAAAATGTTCTGAAAATGGACAGTGATTGTTGTACAACATTGTGAATGTACTTAATGCCACGCAATTGGCTCTAAGTTTGTGATGATTTGTTGCAGTAGCAACAGGAAACTGATACATCCCTTTCCCCAGGTCTTGAAAGCCTCTTTATCTAAGGGACAATGGTCTCCCTCTGCCCCCAGCAGCCTGATGTCTTGCACATCCCCCCCACACACCAGATACCTCCTCCAGGCAGAGTGCACCCAAGGTTCTATGCATGGGGGACAGATAGGGGGTGGCCTGCCCCAGCCCCCAAGGCCCACTCTTGACCAGACTGTGAAACTACCCTCAAGGATGTTGGAAATGGAACAGGTTTAAGGTCATGGAGTAAATGTGAGGTGGTACCAGGACTGAGCCCTGGGGTCCAGCCTGGCTGACCGATGGGATCCCCATCCACTTCACAAAGCTGATCCTTTCTGTCTGTGCCAGTCTGACTTATCTTCCTGGGGAGAGATAGTCATTCACGCTTTAGAGAAAGTAAGATAAGACATCTGGCACCTGGTGATGCGGTGTTACTACGGAATGGTAGACGTCCTCTCTCATGTTGAAAACCAGGCTTGGGGTGGGCAGTTCCTGTTCCCACCCTCTCTACAGCTCACAGGGTGCCTTCAGCCACCCCTATTCCTGAAGGTACCCTCAAGGTCTCCTAGTATCAAACTCAGTTCTTGCCCTCCATAAGGAGCAAGAGGCATAACCATGCCTGGCTCATGTGTGTGGCAATGATGGTCACTGCCATTTAATCAGCAAGGAATCTGTGCCAGGTCCAGTGCCCCAAACTTTACGTGTGTCATTTAACCAAAACCTCTCAACCAGCCAGGGAATAGTCTCCCATTTTACAGATGAGGAGACAGCCCCAAGCAGGTTAACGAGCATACACAAGGGCATTCAGCCACAAGCGGCACAGCCGGGTTAAAACTAGGTGATGTGACTTCACAGCCCAGATTCGCCTGGAGTCGGCGGAAGCATTTCCTTTGGTCTATTCAGTCAATGTTTCGAGATCCAGAGATTTTTAAAAACACAGTCTGGATTTCTAGATTCTCTTGAAAAATTGGATTCACCAATTGAAAGAGCTCCCCATGGCCAAAGCAGGAACAATTTGAGCAATAAAACACATAAAGTAGTATTGGATTATAAACCAAAGTGTAAAATAAACACCCATGAGTCCATAGTGAAAGGCAAATCAGTGCAGAAGTTCCAAGTAATTTATGTAGCTACCCCGCCCTCAACGAGGTGGGACAAAACTCCCCACCCCGTAAGTGCAGGCTAAACACAGTGACTTCCTGCCAAGGAGAACCATGGGGAAAGCAGAGGGGAAAGAGTAGCTTTACAGTGGAGAGACCGGACAGGCACACCTCAGCCCGGTGCTCAAGGTCAACATCAACAGTGATGTCATATTCATAGTATGTACCCTTGATCCGATGTCGTGAGAATGGCACTGTACCTCTGTGGCTGTCCTCCCCAAAACCGACAACCCCAGTCCAATCCGACAAAAACATCAGACAAATCCCAGTGGAGGGTCATTCTATAAAGTCCCTGGCCACCTGACACCTCAGGTGTCGCCTGACACCACCCTGACACCTCAAAACTGTCAAGGTCATCAAAAACAAGGAAAGTCTGAGAAACTGGCACAGCCCAGAGGAACCAAAGCAGATAGGACAACTAAATGCAGTGTGGGACCTTGGATGGGATCCCAGAACTGAAAAAGGATGTTAGGGAAAAACTGAGGCGCTCTGAATAAAGTGTGGACGTTAGTTAATAAGGATATGTCCATAGTGTTCATTAATGGTGACAAATGTACCGTGCTGATGTAAAATTGTTACACAGAGCCTGGAAAGTGCCTCCAAAGATTCGCTGCACACTCCTAGGCTAGGGGCTCCTTTGCCAGAGAAGCCCCCAGTTCCCAAGGTGGGCAGAGAGAGAAGGAGCCACCTCCCAGGCCTCAGCCCCTCTAGACATGGCAAGGCCCAGGGGACAGAGGCCAGCTTGGGTGTGGAGAGAGGTGGGTTGAAGCTGGTCTCTGCACAGGTTTACCCTGTGGCCATGTCCAAATTCCTTTCCCTGGAAGTGCCAGGGACAACAATGACTCCCTGGGGTCTGAGCCAGCGCCCCTGGGTGTGAGGGCCCTGGTCAGCCCTCAAGGACCTTCTCAGGGTGCTGGCGGCTGCCTTGGCAGCCCAGCTGTTGCTTCTGGTCTGAACTGCCAGGCATGAGGAGCCCAGAGGCCCTTCCCTGCAGGACTGAGTGAGTCATCTGGGATCATTTGCTGGCCAGGGTGGGTGAGGGAGGAGCCGCCTTTACAGACACCTGGTACAGTCAGGAAAGGGCGTTCAGTGCCCTCAGGGGCTCCTCTGGCTGCCTCCAAGCCCACACCCTAAGGATCCTGGAGTAAGGGAAGGTGCTGGGGGCGGGCCCTCTCCCTGTGCTAAGGGCTGAGCTAGTGACGCCTTCCTGAGTAAGAGCTGCAAGGACCCTGCCCCAGCAGTGTGCCTCCCACTTCCCTGCACCCAGGGGTGTGGAAGGGGTCTTTCCCTCTACTGCCCATGGCGTTCTGGCCCAGGGACCTAGAGATGGGGGAGATGGGAGAGGAGACAGAAGCCATGGGCCAAGTGGGAGAGACAGAGGGGAGGCGGAGCCTGGCCCAGGAGGGGAGGGGATGGAGGGTGCCGAGGTGGCGGCAGGGCCTGAGAGACAGTGGGGTGTGTGGCCGGGAGCATGGGCGCCAGGCTGAGCTGCTGCTCCCAGCTCAGGAGCCCCCGTGCCAGCTGGACGCTGGAGGGTGGGCACGGGCAGGGCTGCGTGCCAGCCACGCACAGAGCGCCCTTTGAGGAGATGGCAGCTGTCGGGCCAGACTCCCCTGCTGGCTGTGGCCCTGCCTGCCCCCTCCGACGCCTTGCTGAGCACCAGGCTGGGGACACTGAAGTGCACAACTGGGAGCCCCACTTGAAGGGTGAAGGGGGCAACGCTGCTCAATAGGAGCGGGGGAGGGGACCGCCTCATCAGTGCCGGGACAGGGACCTGGGGCCTGTGGCAGGCCTCCGTTGCCCCCCCACTCTTGCACATCTCACACTCGCCTCATTGCCGGTGGCTAGTTAGGACCCTGCTCAGGACACCCCTGGGAGGAAGAAGGCCAAAAGCCTTCCGAACTCCAATAAATGCCCTGCTGACGGGGTTTTGAGGTCTGGGGAGCTGGGGCCAGACCTGGGCCTCTGGGGAAGCCATCCTGCTGCCTGTGTCAGCTTCCTCCACCCTGTCGTCATGGGCCTCCTGGCACAGCACACCTGGCAGGCAGAAGAGCCTGTCCCCCAGGCACATGCACACACAAAGAGATTTCCTAGGGGCCTGGAGCTCCCTAGGCTCCCCTATGAGCTGGGGCTGCTGCCAACCAGCTTCGTGGAAACCGCTGTGTCATTCCTCCCCAGGGTCACTGCCCTGGCCTCCACCCGGCCTGGTCTAGGTGCTCGCTCACCCTCCCTGGGCAGGAGAGTGGAGTGGTCAGACCCTGGCGCTTCCTTTTGGTAGCTGAGGGATCTCAGAGCCTCAGCCTATTAAATGTAACCTGGAAGCAGCAGCCAGGCCCACCTGGCAGGGGGTGGGGGGAGGAGGACCAACATGTATATGCCCAGTGGTTGCAGGTACCATGTTTGGGCACCATGTCACATGTCAACAGCTGAAGAAATTGAGGGTGTTTAATCTGGGGAAAGGAAGGCTCAGGTCCGCGAATGCATGTCTGCGAGCATCCGAAGGGGTGGTCCTCGGCCCAGCCAGCCTGGCTGTGGGTGGGCCCGTTTGTGGGGTCACCAAGAGACGGAAGGGAGAAGGGATCCTCCCTCGAAGCCGTCCAGATCCCACTGTCGGGTGACCTGAAGATGAGCCAGCCTTTCCCGGGGAGTCGGGAGCTCCTCTTCCCTGGGAGCGGGGACAGAGGCGCCCTGGCAGCACCGCTTGGGGTGCCAGGGGTCTCTGGGTTCCCCGTCGGCTGGGGGCCGGCAAAGCGGTTCTAGGAGCCCTGGTCCGCCAGTCTGCCGTGGCCTTCGGCCAGACTGAGCCCCTGCCCCGTCCGCGCCGGGACACGGGCCTGGGAGCCGGGCCAAGGCCTCGGGGCAGGCGCCCAGCACCCGGGATGTGCAGTGTGGGGGTGGGGCAACCAGGTGGGCGAACAGAACATGGTGCGACGGACTGGAGGTGGCCCTTGAAGGATAGGCAAGGTGTGGACACGCAGCCTCCTCGCCGCGTTGGGCCGACAGAAAAACCCCGAGGTCCGGGGTCCTCGCCTTTAACGCGGCCCCCGGTGGCGGAGACGGGAGGGGGAGGGGCGGCGCAGGCGGCGCATGCGCGGCGCGGCTGGAGCGGCCGGACCGTCCGGCCGCCGGGAGCGCGCAGGAGCCCGCGGGCCGCGCCGACAGCGCCGGGACCCCGCGCCAGGGGTTCTGAGCGGCGCGGGCGGACCCAAGCCCCCAGCCCGCTGCGCCGCTGCCCGCCGGGCCCCGGGAGCGGCGGCCAAGATGTCCGTGCCGGTGAGTACCGACCACCGCCCGGGACCCCGGGCTGGTGCCCCCGGCGGGCCTGCGACCTCGCGCCGCCCGCTGCAGGCCTGATGCCGCGGGGGCTCCCCGACCGGGGCTCGCCCCGGCTGGGGGTCGCTCCGCCCGGGCCTTCTCGAGCCTGGGAGGAGAGGGTGGGGGAGCCTCCCCCAAGCCGGCCTCTGCCCCTGCCTTTCCATCCTCTTCCAGGAGAAGGGGTCTGTGCTGTCCTCGCGGGGAGCCCCCCCAAGATGGCTGGGTCGGCTGGGGTCTTTGTTGGCCCCCCGGGACCCCCCGGGGACAGCTGGGCCAGGCTGGAGTCCGTGCCGTGCCCCAGGACCCCGCACCAGGAGGGCTGGGCCTGGTGGGGAGGGGTCCCTGCCGCTCCCCGGGGAAACCCCTCCAGGACTGCTGGGTGGGGTGCGGGGTTGGGGAGGTCTGTGCTGGCTCCCAAACCCCCTAGGATAGCTGCCCTGCTGTGCTCCCGGTACCTCAGCGGTATGGCCGGGCTTGGGGCGGGGTCTGTGCCTGTCCCCGTAGACACCCCTTGCCCAGGGCAGCTTGGCTTGGTGGGAATGGTGCCCACCCCAGAATGGCTGGGTACTCACTTTCCTGGGAAGTTTTCCACCCTCTGCTGAAACCGCCCCCCCCTCGGGGCCCTGACTGGCAGCTTCTTCCCCCCTGGCTGTGGGGGCTTCTCTTCTGGTTGACACCCCCTCTTCCTGGCTGGGCTGGCAGGCTTGGGCAGACCCTGGGCCAGGACTCCACATCTGGGCCCTGACATCTCAGCACCTGGATCTCACCTCCCGAGGGAGGCAAGTGATTCTGGCTATCCTCGGTGACCAGGCCTCAGGCACAGGCTCACTTTACAGATAGACTGACCAAGGTGGGAAGTGGACACCCGTCATCCTGCCAGGAAAGGGACCTTCCGCACGCTGGAGAGCTGTGGCCTCCAGCCATTGTTTCTCGGCTGAGTTAGGGGCTTGTCACAAAGGGGCAGTGGGCCAGAGTGCGTGTCCACTCTGGCCTTGTTTCCAGAACTGCTCCTCACCTGGGTGACCCCATCCTTTCTGTAAAGCAGACAGTCGGGGCTTCCTGGCAGGGCAAGTGGCCTCTTCATTAACTACCACAGAGTGTGCAGATTACTGGAGGGGAGATGCTGGGAGAATGCAAAGCATTGTTATTATAGAATTAAAGATCCCAGCTCCTGCCTGCCTCCAGAAGCGGTAATGCAGAGTTACAGATGAAAAAATTAGGGCTTCCAGACCACGCTAATGTGAACCCCCCCACCTCCCGTCTGTTCTGGTTCAGAGCGTAATTGCCTCATCTTTAGAAAGAAAGGAGACAGAAACTGCCTGCCAGCACTTGTCTCCTCCTCGGCTTTCCTGCAGAGCTCTGCTTTCTCTGGCCCAGGGTCATCAGGGGACCGACCAGTCCTGCTCCTGTGGGCACTGCTCAGAGAGGCAAGGTGGACCACCTGAGCCTGCTGGAGGGCTGGGGTCCCCAGGGCAGTAGTGAACAGGGAATGTCACTCTGGCCACATCAGAGCCTGGACAGGTCTCTAATGGAGAGGTCCCCTTTGATTTGGTTTGGTGGTCTGGGATGGCACACAGACCCCTTGCCTTACGGGACTTTGGGCAGCCTTCCTGGCTCTGTGCCTCATCTGTGACAAAAGGGATGGCAGGCCGGGTGGGACTTGGACAGACCAGCACCGTTGGGACCTGCCACCGAGGTCTGCTTGGTCCATCCACAGCATTGCAGGATCCAAGTCACTTCCCACCCCCTCGCTTGTAGCCACAGCCCATAGGAGTTCTGCAGGGGTAGGTGGGGGTCTCGCTATCTGCCCCTTGCGTGGCTGGGTTGTCGCATTACCCTGGCTCTCTCCTCGGACCTTAGGCAATATGTGAGGAGGTGGGGCCAGGAGGAGAAGTTCATTTTTGGAGAGGCCGTGAAATGTTCAGAAAATTGCTTTCATGTGCTGAGGGGGCCCAGCAGAGGCTTCCAGACTGAGCCGCCTGCTCGAGCCCTGCTGCTGGATCCCAGAGTGCTGACTGCCCACATGGTGCTCAGGGATACATTCGGGTTTTAAGCACACCCATTCATTTGGACAGTCTTTTCCTGGATGGGGCTGACACAGGCACTTTGGCCCACAGAAATTACAAGATGCTTCAGAACAGATAGAAGAGGTTGTGTGGGCCAGGTTGAGTGCGGAGTGACTCTCTGAGTATCTGAGCAGGGGTTGGCTGGTGTCATCCTGTCATTTGACTGACATGGGGTCTGGGGTCCAGAGAGGGGAAGGCACCAGGGTGTCCTCGGCTCCCTGCTCAGTGCTGCTTCCTCTGCTCAGGCGGTCCCTGGACACTCATCTGCCTGCTCTCTGACATCTGCCTTCCTCTTGGGCATGGCTGTCCAGTGCCCTGCGCCTGTCTCTTCCCTCACCTGGCAGGACACATGTGAAAGGAAGACGGCTGTGCCGCCCATCTCAGACCCCTAGCCGGCATTGGCATGGGTCCATGTTTAGGAGTGGCAAGATGCTACTGCCCCTGCACTGTCAGGCGAGAGGCCAGCTTCCAGCTTGCAGAGAAGTCCTTCTGCTGTCTGTCTTTGCCCTTCCTTTCCTGTCTGTGAAATGGGTGTGGCCATTTCAGCCGCTCCTGTGCGTCTTCATTGAGGGAGGCGTCCCTTCAGGGAGCACAAATGCTGCCCTGCGTGCCAGGCACTGGGCTCTGCCTCACAGGCGCAGGGAGGGCCCGTGTCTTGCCAGAGTTGCATGGCCAGGGCGAGGCAGATGGAGGGTGGGAACCAAGACTGGCAGGATCCAAAGCCATAAAATGACCATCATCCTGCATGGCCTCTAATTGTGGGGGCTGCAGCCTGCTGAGCCGTCCGCAGAGGCCAGGGCTGCTGCGAGACCGACCCTCTGCTTGTAGCTGTCCACATGTGAGCCTGTGCAACCGCTTCGGCAGCCCAGGCAGCTTGCCCGAGGCTGGGCAGCAGGCTCGGTCTAGCCCATCCAGCCCCTCCCGGGCTCGATGGAGATCAGTGGACCAGACTGGAATCTGGTTGAACCTCTGCCAGCTACCTTGGGACCCCCTCTGTACCTGGCTCTGTGCCAGGCAGCACCATGAGTGGGAGAGCTGGCCAAGGAGCCCTGAGGGTGTGCCCTGGGGTTCACAGCTGGCCTGGGCGGCCCGGCAGTAGACGGCTGGCGCCTGGTAGAACAGGCTCCAGAGGGGACAGTGGGAAGTGGCCACGTCCAAGTCCGAAGTCCTCAGTTCAGTCTCCACAACCTCTGCCACGCCCTCTCCGGCCGCAGCTGGCCCTGCCGTCCCTCCTTCTGTAGCAGTGATCCTGCTCCCGCCAGCCTGCTGCACCCCTGGAAGCCCTCCGGCCCCGTGGGTGATGGCTGGTAGTGGTGGGTGCTCTGGTTGCCGTCAGGCTTGCTCAGGGCGGGACCGGTGGCTGCCTGGCTCCTCTCTGTGCCTTCTTTGCTGCAGCCGAGGGTGTGGCCCCTGTGGCAGAGGCCCCACAGGCGCGGGCCAGGGTCCCCTTCGGAGCCTGGCCTCTGCCCACTGTCCTGAGAGCCGTGCTGGGGGCTGAGAGGGGTTCCTGGAGAGGCTCCTTCTGGGTGGGAGGGTGTTTTGGTGCTGGCTCTATGTCTGAGTGAGTTGCTGAACCTCACTGAACCTCAGTTTCCTCATCTGTATCATGGGGATGTTAACAGCCCTGAGCTCCTGGGGTCCTGTGAGTGATCGGTAAGGGAAGTGTGAAGCTGCCAGCAGGGGCTAGTAAGTCACACAGCTAACTGCTGTAGAGATTATTGTCTTTACCCTGCCATCGTTGGGTGGTGCGGTGCCCCAAGCCCTACTCCTGGCTCATGCACAGCCAGCTTGGGGAGGGGGTTCCCAGCCCTGCCTCACTGGGCTGGGCCCAGGCCGATGGACCCCCTGCCCCCAGGATTCCCTGGGGCCCGCACAGTCTGCCTCCAGCCTTTTCTTTGTGGTCTGTGTGGTTTCCGCCAAAGCCTTAGTGGCAGGATGACCCTGGCTTCTCCCTTGCACTAGCGTGGCCTATGGGACCCCTGCCCCTTGTCCTCACCCCACTGAGAGAGTGACCTCTACTGGGGCCACTGCAGGGGTGCAGGCCTTTCCTCAGGTATGGTCTGCAGCCGCCTGGTCCAGCAAGGGCAGGCAGAGGTCAGGATAGCCGCCATTCCCCACCCTGGGGATCACGGCACCTTAGGGAGGGGGGCTCAAGCCTACAAGGGAGGCGGGTGGGCCTCAAGGCTGTGAGGTGAGTGCGGGATGCAGGTGGCTCCGCAGACCTCCCCACTTCCCACCGCTGGGCCTGCGGCTGTGCCTTGTGGTCAGCTGTGGTCCCCTTCCCTCCCTGTGCTCACTTCACTCCTCAGTCTTGGCCCTGGCTTCATCGCAGCTGCTCGCTTTTGTTGCATCCTGGTCAAACCCGACAGTGTCTGTGGCTTTCTCTGAGTCACTGCACTGTGTCCCTCTCTTTGGGAAAAAGAAAAAGAGCTGAGGACAGGTGGGGACTTCGGTGGAGGTGAGGAGGAATGCCCGCTCTGGCGAGAGAGATGGTCACAAGTTTCGGCTCTAAAGTTAATCTCTTCTCTAAGGGGAATTAGGGGCTGAGGAGGCTTTTCAGTAATTTTAATTTATTATTTAAGCCCTGCCAAGTTCCAAGAAGGATTTGAAACAGATTATAGTGGAAGACACAAATAATCTAGAGTCATCAAAAGGTCCAGAATTATGGAATGTGTGAGAAAGGAGGAAAAATTATTCCAGAAAGCCTAGCTAAGTAGGCGTACAGATTTACCTTAAGCTCCCTGACAGCCAGGGCAAAAAGGGTAACATGGTGGGTTTAGGCTTGCAATACCTGTTTTTGATATTCGTAACGCCACGTATTTTTTCTTCCGTGCTTTCTTTTATTTTCTTTACCAGTTTTCATTGAAGTAGATTTTACATGTCGTGAAAGGT